AATACAGTGAAATTAACTAGTTAATATCAGATGGTGTCCTGTCAGGCGGGCTGGCCCACAGTACATTATGGCTCCACTTTTAATATCTCACTAGATTAGGGCTGGCTGTGAATTGCCAACAAGAGAGTGAACTATCTTGGTAAAATCCTTGTCAGGATGGTGGTATTACGGTTAAAATGGGCTTAGTCAAAGCTTGAGGTCGGTAGCTGAAATTTAATAGTCATTAAAATTGTCATTAAAACGCTTCTTTGTTAATTACTATTAAGTGCTTCTAATATACTTTATGTCAGAGATGTCCATATGAAGCTAGGGATATTTTCCTTAAAATTTTGAAAATTATAGCGATTAGGGAATGAAATGTGTATAATCACATATCTGCTAGAGTGGTGAAGTTAGGAGTTACCTGACGCCTGATAAGTCTAATCATGAGTTTTAGAGAGGTATTGGTGACGAGTGCCCTTTGTTGGTCATGATAACGCGTCCAATTCCTTGACTCTTTGCCAGAACAAGACCAATCCCCGCGGCGCTGCAAACAAGGAGAACTGAATATTTCCAAACAATCTAGTGTGATAATAAAATAAAACCTGCGCAGTATGCTTGAGGATTGGCTATTAATGGTTCTGCAAAGGTAATTAGGCATAAGGTAAGCTGCTTAATCAGTGATGACATTGCAAATTTTTCCTTGTTTTCGTATTTTAAAATACTTTTATTTCTCATTGTCAGTAATAGGCTTTGTCCTTGTAGTTTAATCTGAATCCTGTGCTGAGCTCATTAACATTTACATACACATTAAAAGATAGATAAAGTCTCACCTGCTGGGATGAGCACTAAAGTTGTATGGAAACACTGATGGTCATTCTAATATAAAAAAAAAAATAGAAGTCTTTAGCTCAGGCTCCCCAGTATCGAGGCTTCCTCTTGACTTAAGCTACTTTCAATTCCTCAAGCTGCAGGTACCCTGTCTTAGACCGATGTGCTTTCTCCCACTTGTCTGTCAACAATGGCCTTTGCCTTTCTTTGGTGTATGACTGTCCAGCTTTCCCAGTGGGTACCAAGAGTGGAGATTCTTTTTTAAAGATTTTATTTTTTTTTTTTAATGTAATCTCTACACCCAGTGTGTGGGGCTCAAACTCACAACCCAGGTCAAGATTTGTATTGACCCGCTGACTGGGCTGTGGCTGCCCCCCTCCCAGGTGGAAATTTGCTGCCCAAAGCAACAGATGACTGGTAAAGAATAACAGCATCACACTGCTGTCTGGATTTAGGGTTTGGAAAAACCTATGGTGGGCTTGAGAAAAGGGTGAAAAGAGAAGGAGTAGGAGAGTGGGTCTGTTTCCTATAATCGTGGGTCTTGGGGCGAGGAATGACAAGATTAAAGTTACAGAGCTGAAGAGCTTGGGTGTCTGTCCTTTAGAGAAGGGGATCAAGTTTCTAATAAAACAAAAGCAGCAAATTACCTTTTCTTAAACGCTTTTTATTTATTTTGAACAGAGAGAGCATGAACGGGAGGGGCAGAGAGAGAGGGAGACACACCGGAATTCCGAAGATATTCCCAGGCCTGGTTACCCAGCCCAGAGCCCGGCCACGCCTGAAACTCACTTGACCATGGTAGGATCGTGGACCCGGCTGAAGTCGGACGCGAACTGATCATGCCAAATTCCAGGCGCAAATTGCCTTTCAATATAAAGCCCAGCCTTTAAAGGTGTGCATGTCTTTACAAAATATCTATCTAGGGGTACTCACATCCCTTTAATAGGGAGAAAGTCCTGCTTCTCGCCCATGTGTAACTTGCCATGTGGAGAGAAACCTCTTTAAAGGCAGGGCTGTTTGGATCTGGCTGGGGATGTATTGACAACACATATATGACTAACATCAGTCTCCTTTCTGTGTTGATAGGGAAGAAGTCAGGAGAGGTGATCCTCAAATTTCATGGTTCAGTAAGACTTCAAAATAATTTTAGTTGAAACGTTGCTGGACTTCCCCTGTTGTTCAGGGAAGGGAAGGGGGTGAAGAAAGTTTTATTTGTATTCTCATTTCAAGAAACAAAGGACATGTAAAACACTAAACAGTCAGAAAGGACAAGTTCTCAGGAAAAAGATAGTTCTTTAAATGGGATATATTTATTAGCTTTAGAAAAAGACTGTCCCCAACTTTTATGTAGGGTTAAAGCCATATGCCACTGGATTGAGGGCTGTGGATTTCTGAACAGGGATGTCCTAGAACAGGAGTCAGTGAGGGAAATGAACTCATTAACATTGGTCTCTGGTAAAGATACTTATCATGTCTTGCCCTGTAGGCTTGAAGTAGGAATGTTGATTCCAAATATTTAAACTTGAGATAATGTGCTTGCAATATCAGTTGCCCCAGCTAGCTGCCAGGTTTTCAATAATGGGTAGATAGATCTTGATTCATCTTAGGATTTATTACATCATTTTGCTGCCTTTCCTGGCAAGAGAAATACTTGTATGTATCAGGAAACTGCTCTTTCCACTTCATTTGTAACCAAAGGGTTTATATCATCAACAACTCTGCCCCTTTTGCCTTTGGATTATATTATGTACTTTTTTTTTTTAATTAGTAAATCGCTTGGTATTTTCCTGACAGCTGCCACTTGACAGAAGTTGGTTTGGCCTGGGAGAATATAACCAGGCAAATCAGCCTGTGGTCTGAAACGCGGGCTGTCGGCAATCTATCTTCGAGAATAATTGAAAAGTTTTGCTGTGTTCATTTTGTTTATGGGTTTCCAGGTGAACGAACTCCATTGGGAATCCCCAGAGATGGCCCCGAAGTGTTGACTGTGATGAATGGGGACGAAAAGGCGCCTATAGTCTGATTGTGACTGGTGGCTGCGGGAGCATGTTGCGAGATGGTTGGCGGAAGATCCTCACTGAGGGAACGCTAGCCAGAACCTTCAATAACACTTCATCATGAATTTCCAGTAAAGAGCCATTATAGATTTTCAGTAATATTGAGAACTGTCATTTAAAATGTACAAGTGAACCTTTGTAATGTAAACTGCAGTGCTGGGATAATGTTCACAAAATGCTCCATAGCACTTGTGCTAAAAAGCGTCCAGCGCTTTTAGTGATTGTATTTTATTGACTCTCGTGCTGCCAGCTTGCAAGCTCTATGCCATTATTTTGAAAATTTTAAAAAAAAGAAAAACTGTTGCCAATTAATCTATTTCATTGGTTGGTAAAATGCATTTTATTTCAGCTGTTAAGGGAATGTCTGAGTCCCAGACTTTATGAAATATGCTTGGTGGCTCAGTTTGAAGAGGCCACTGCTCACAGGGCTTCCAGATTCATTTGTCCGCGGTTTGAGCCTCGCGATTGGCTCTGGCTGGACCGCCTCAGGAGCCTGGAGCCTGTTTCAGATTGTGTCTCCCTCTCTCTCTCTGCCCCTTCCTGCTCACTTGTCTTCTTCTCTGTCTCAAAAAATAAATAAAATAATAAAAAAAAATAGGTTCATTAACTCAAGCATCCTCAAACAATGGAAGAGGTAGATACTACTCCATTTTACAGATGAGGAAACCAAAGCATTAATGGTTGGGTTAAAGACCACTTGCCCAGAATAACACAGTCAGTCTGGCTTGGAAGTCCATGCTCTTGATGCTATGCTATGCTGTTTCTGCAAGGACTAGCTAACAACAGGCAGGAAAATTGAAATAAAATTAGAAATACAGGAATGGCGCAGAAGTAGAATTACAAACTATTTCTAACAAGTGTATATTCTAGTAGATTAAGCCCATTTAAAAATTTTTTTTTGTTTATTTTTGAGGAGAGAGAGAGAGAGAGAGACACAGAGTGTGAAAGTGGGGAGGTAGAGGAGAGAAAGGGAAGGCTAACCAAGCCGCTCCAGGCTCCTGAGCTAAAACAGCACAGTCTCCTAGAATGTGGGTCTCAAACCCAACAACTGTGAGAGATTGTGACCTTGTCGGGGTCGGACACTTGAATCCAACTGGAGCCACCCAGGTGCCCCCCATTTTTTTTTTAATGTTTATTTAATGTTTTGAGAGAGAGAGAATCCTAAGGATGTTTACACTGTCAGCACAAAGCCTGACATCTTGCCCAATCTCATGACGGGTGAGATTCATGACCTGGACAATAGGAGTCGGACACTCCAGCCTAATTGAGTCAGGTGCCCCTATTAAGCCTATTTCTTTAGACATGATAGATATGTATGTTTTTTTAGTTTCCAACTGAAAGGAATAGGGCAGGCATTTCAGTTTTTTTCTAACTCACCCAACTTCATCTCTTTCTGGAATGCTTAATGTGTATTTCTTCATATTGTATAATACATATTTCATATGCTTAATACATATATACATATATATATATATATATATATATATATATATATTTACTTGTTATTTTTGAGTCTCCTCTTGAGTTCAGGTTTTCCCTTAGATGATTCTTGGGGCCAATTTATTTCCTTCATTTCAGTTCATTCGTTCAGTAATGAGAGAATGGCACCAGGCACGGTTAGGTACCAGGTTTACAGTGTTGAGAGAGCAGAAGGCTCTCTCTGCCTTCTTTCCCAAGTTATTAATAATTTGTTCACAGTGCACTGTGTTTGTGTAGAAGTAGATTACGGGGCGGGGTGGGGGGGTGGTGGAGCTGGGCAGTGATCTGGTGGAAGAGGGGTGCGGGCTGGGGAGGGCGTTCTAGGCAGAGAGAACAGCATGATTTGTTCAGGAAGCTTTAAATAGCTCATCATTGTTGGACAGCAAAGAGTGAGATGGGGAGTGTAGCTACATGAGACAAGAGAGAGGACCGAGGTCAAATCATGAAGGATATTGAACTCTTGCAAAGGAACTAGGCCTATTGATGTGAACAAGCCATTTATTTTGGGAACATGCCTTTGGTCCAAAGTTAAGAGGGCACAAAACTTCCTTCTTTTAACAAAAAGAAACTTGCATATATGAGAAATACTTTTTTGGGGGGACATGAGAAACTGAGTTTGCTAAGGAAATAATAATTATTATTTTTTTGGAATAGCGGTTTTTGAAGTTTCCAGAGGATCCAAAAGTTAGCAGCGAATTACTTGATCTGATTCAGAGTTTGTTGTGTGGCCAGAAAGAGAGACTGAAGTTTGAAGGCCTTTGCTGCCACCCTTTCTTCTCCAAAATCGACTGGAATAACATTCGTAACTGTGAGTAGGGCTGCGGTCCTTCCTTTCTGGTGTTCAGATTAAGTGTAAACACTTAAGAATGTTCTGAAATTATTCTGGCCTGCAGAAGGTGGTATAAATTATATAAATAAGGGCCTCAATTATCTCCAGGGATAGAAAGGGCTAATGATGTAGCTGTCTGTAAGTGGTAATTCTTCTTTAAAATTGTTTGCACAGAATGGGGTCATTTATCAAACTCTATGCTTAAGTGGCCTTCACATCATCTCTCAGTAAGTTAGAGGAACAGACTGATGGAGTTCAAGGGTTGCCGGTTGGTTTGACAGAGTTTCTTCTAAGAGGAAAAGTGGACGTATGTATTTCCTTCACAGATTGGGAAAAAAGACTCAAAAATGAGGCAAAGTGCCAGGTTGCTCTGCAAATGGCCAAGCCTGCACGAAACCCATAAATGCCTCTCTGTGTTCGTGTTTTCCTCAGAAACATTTTGTCTTTGCTCACAAGCCTGTAAAATCTGTAACATAGACACACACAGCAGATTCATTCATACATACATCACTTTGGAATCAATTAGTGCAAATGAAATTCATTAAAAACAGAGATTTGATTTATTATTGACAAAACCAAAATGCTTGGGCTTTTACAAATTGGTGATTTTGGGGAACACATGGGTGGCTCAGCCGATTGAGCGTCCAACTTCAGCTCAGGTCATTATCTCACAGTTGGTGAGTTTGGGCCCTGCATCGGCCTCTCTGCTGTCTGTACAGAGCCTTCTCTGGATCCTCTGTCCAGACCCCCGACCCCCCCTCCCCCCCACCCCGACACACACACAACCGCATCCCTCTCCCACTTGTGCACGCACTCTCTCTCTCTCTCAAAAATAAATAAACTTAAAAAAAAATTGATTTTTTTAAAGCATTTTTTATTTTTGGATGTGTTGATTGAATGTGCCAATGATTAGCATAGATTAGGGCCGGTAGGAAAGCAGTGGGTCTGAGTGGGTTGTTTTTGTTTTTTTTAATTTTTAAAAAATATTTATTTATTTTTGAGAGAGAGAGCACGAGCAGGAGAGGGTCAGAGAGAGTTGGAGACACAATCCAAAGCAGGTTCTGGGCTCTGAGCTGCAGCACAGAGCCCGATGCGGGGCTCAAACCCATGGACCGTGAGATCATGACTTGAGCCAAAGTCAGACGCTCATCCCACTGAGCCACCCAGGTGACCCTGTTTGAGTGTTTTATCTTTGGTGATGAGGGGAGGTGGGGAGTGGAATCCATTTCTAGGTGTCAAAACCAGACTTCTAGTTTGAGCCATGTTGTAATCCTAATATATGAGGAGTTGGGTTAAGATCCCAGTGTTTTCCAGTTGAAAGCCATTTTGATGGTTTCTCTAACCTGCCCAAATGTTTAAGTAGGCTACATTTTTATAAATCTGCCTTAGAAAATTTATTTTTCTTCTGGGAGCCACATTGCTTAATTTTTCTAATCTTCAGGCATCAATCCCCAAATCTTCCAAGGTTCAGGGCTTTTAATCAATAGTATATTTTCAGGCTATTTTCTTTTTTGCTTTTAGAAAGATTTGATATAGTTTTCTTTAGATGCTGTTCAAATAGTCTTTTCTTGCCTTGCCTTTTTATCTCTGTAATCTTTTTTTTTTTTGATGGTTATCCATTTATTTTTGAGAGAGAGAGAGACAGAGACAGAGAGAGAATATCCCAAGTAGGAAATCTGAGATGCTAGCTAAAGAGACCCTGGATAGCTCAATTGGCCATAACCGCGGGAGATCATGACCTGAGCAGAAATCAAGAGTCAGATGCTGAACAGACTGAGTCACCCAGGCACCCCGTCCGTCCGTCCTTCCTTCCTTCCTTCCTTCCTTCCTTCCTTCCTTCCTTCCTTCCTTCCTTCCTTCCAGACTGAGTGATATTCTCTCGTGTGTGTGTATACATACTACAAATTCTTTATCCATTCATCCTTTGATAGACACTTAGATTGTTTCCATATCTTGTCTATTGTGAATAATGCTGCCATGAACGGGAGAGCACAGATTTCTTCGAGGTACTGATTGCATTTTCTTTGGGTGTTCGACTAGTGGATTACGTTTTGATCATACGGTAGTTCTATTTTTAGTTTTTCAAACTTCTTGCAATTGTTGTCCTTAGTGGCTGTAACAATTAACCTTCTTACCAACAGTGTGTAAGAATTCCCTTTTCTCCACATCCTCACCAACTCTTGTTATCTTGGCTTTTTGATCACACAGTCATCTTTTTTTTTTTTTTTTTTAATTTTTTTTTTTCAACGCTTTTTTTACGTGACATTTTTTTTAACAGAGAGAGACAGAGCATGAACGGGAGGCAGAGAGAGGGAGACACAGAATTGAAATGGCAGGCTCTGGAGCCATCAGCCCAGAGCCCGACAAGGCTCCTCACGATCACAGAGATCGCGGACCTGGCTGAAGTCGGACGCTTAACCGGACCAACAGCCACCCAGGCGCCTGACACAGTCATCTTAATAGGTGAAGCAGTACCATTGTGGTTTTGATTTGTATCATTAGTAGATGTTGAGCACCTTTCATATACATATTGGCCATCTGTCTTTTTATTTTTTCAAATTTTATTTAAATTTAGTTGATGTATATATAATAGATCCAGGAGTAGAACTGTGATTCATAACTTACAACCCAGTGCTCATTAGCCAGTGTTCTCCTTGTACCCACCACCCATCTAACTCCCATCCCCCAAATCTAGTCTCCCTCCATCAACCCTGTGTTCTCCATTGTTAAGAGTCTCTTGTGGTTTGTTTCCCTTTCTTCTCCTCTCACCCCATATGCTGTTCATCTGTTTTGTTTAAATTCCATGAAATCATATGGCATTCTTTCTGACTTATTTCGCTTAGCATAATAATAATTTGTCTATCCACGCTAAGGTAAATGGGAAGGATTTCTATCTTTTGATGGCTAGAGTAATATTCCCAGTGTGTGTGTGTGTGTGTGTGTGTGTGTGTGTGTGCGTGTGTGTGTGTGTGTGTCTGTGTGTGTGTGTATCTACCACTTCTTTATCCATTTATCAGTCGGTAGACATTTGGGCTCTTTCCATAATTTGGCTATTGTTGATAATACTTGCAATGGGAGTACAAAAATTCCTTTGAATCAGTATTTTTGTATCCTTTGGGTAAATACCTAGTAGTGCAATTGCTAGATCGTAGGGTAGTTCTATTTTTAACTTCGAGGAACCTCCATACTGTTTTCCAGAATGGCTGCACCAGTTTGCATTTTCATCAACAGTGTAAGGGGGTTTCCCTTTCTCCACATCCTTGCCAACATCTGCTATTTACTGTGTTGTCAATTTTAGCCATTCTGACAGGTGTGAGGTGGTATCTCATTGTGGTTTTGATTTGTTTTTCCTTGATGTGTTTGTCTTCTTTAGAAAAATGTCTTTTCATGTCCTTTGCCCTGAATCTTGATTCTTCAAAATCCTGATGGCTTTTATGGGCTTCTGACTCCCAGTACAGTGGCTCTGGAGTGTCATGAAATATGTTTGCTTTAAAAAAATGTCTTTTAATTTTAATTAACCTTATTTTGGAATAATAATAGGTTCATAGAAAACTTGCAAAGACAGTACAGAGAGTTCCCACATACCCTTCTCCTAGCGTCTCCTAATGTTATAACATCTTATATAACGGTGCCACATTTGTCAAAACTAAGATTAATATTTGCACATTGCTATTAATCAAACTTCAAACTTTATTCTGATTTCACTGGTTTCTCCACTCATGTCTCTGTTCCAGGAGTCAGTCCAGGGTGCCATATTGCAGGCACCTGCAGTAGGCACATACTTAGTGTAGCTCAGCCAATGAGGGGCATCTTCATGTCCCCCGAGGATTGGTAGTGCGTTTTCCTGGAGGTTCTGTCGCATCCCTGACAATGCAGAGAGACACGGTATTCACTGAGCTTCTCCTACGAGATTTCCCTGTTAGGGAAGTTCACTAAGTTTCCCTTGCAGAATTTTTTTAAACCAACCTCTGATCCCTGCATATTTGCAATCAACTTGGGGTTGTGTGATTGAAAACATTGCTGGGCTCCATGATCTTTGAGCTACTTTCCAACTAGGTAACTCTAACAGAAATTATGCCTTTGTCCAGTCCCAGTTTTTCCACAAATGCATGTTGAGTGACTTTCATTAAGCAAAACCCTTGAAGCCGAGTTTATGGTTGCTGTTTCAATGCCTTGTGGTTCCAGGGTATTAAATATCTGTACTTTTCACACACAAGATTGTCCCTTGATGAAAGTAACATTAGCCTTTCTGCTGCCTCACCCCTAATTCTTCTTTTTCTTGTTGTAACCAATGAAAGGAAGTACTGCTTAACACAGCAGGTAATAATCTTCTAAAACTCATCATCTCAAGAGGTGGTCCTGGCAGGATATATGAATGTAGTTTAAGAAGGGTCTGGACAAATTTATGAATGACAGAATCGGAAGTGGCTGCTGAGGGGAACTAGGACATGCCTCAGCTTTCACACTGAAGTCAGACGGAACATCTGCGTCCCCCTGGGTCCAGCCTCTTAGGGTTGCTCTGGGCAACAGTACACGAACCAGGAAACTGACCCAGTTCAGGAACCCGTATTCTCTCAGCAAGTCAAAGGCTTTGTGATGAGTTACTGCCCCATGAAGGTCCCCAGGTGCCCATTACCCTGATGTTTCATTCCCACCTTCGCGCGATCAGATGTCAGCTTATGTTTTCAGCTGCTTATTATTATCATCATTATTTCAAGGTGGCTTTCCAAGTTCCAGTAGGAGACTTCTTAAGTATACTGGCTGCCCTGGACTTTGCAATTCCAGTGATGTTTCCAGTATTGGGCAAGAGTCTGGTGGTACCCAGCCTGATATTTTCTGAGCTTCTGGAATGCTGAGGTCAGAGGGCCTCTCTCATTCATGCCTTCGGGGTTACGCCTCCATTTCCTGGCATCATACACTTGCTCCTGTTAGTGGGGAAGTTTTGCTGCCTGCTGTGCTTTTCTAGTCACATCTGTTAA